ACAAATGGCAAAGGCGGGGTCTTGTCCAGGACAGTCGGTGGCTTACCCTCTTTCCTCTCAGGCCCCACTGCTTGCCAAATCGGTGAGAACTCTGTGAATGGGGAGAACAGTGTGAATTGGAGCATGCTTCTTCTGCCTTTTCCCGGAGAAGCGAGGCTCTGTCCAGGATCACAGCGGAAGCAGGCAGCCCCTGAAGAAGGAGCACTCAAGAAGCCCTGGCTAAGAAGAGGGCCTACTCTATCACATGTGAGGCCACGGTAAGAGGGGGCAGATGGTCCAGCCAATCCCTTGAGACCTTTAACAGGGCAGCCAGTATGCTGGCTTCCCTGTCTCTAGGGAGGCAATGACAAGAGGGACAGGGACAGCTCTGTCATGGAATTTGATCTTGAGTCCAGCTAGATAGCTATCTGGAAATTAAAGAGAGCACTCAAAGCCACATTCAGTCACAGAGACTGGTTTGGAGGAGGGTGGGCCTGGGGTCCGGCATTAGGACTGGGGCAGGAGCTTGGCCAAGGATCTTGCTTCTCTGATCGGCCCCTCTTTGCCCACAAACTCTACCTGGCTCTAAGCCACTACCATCAAGCCCATTTCTCTGCTCATCTTTCTTCTCTGCTCCCAGGAGAGCAAGCAAGCTTTGTACTCAAGGCTCAAGACCTGATGGGGTTCCAGTTACATTTCTATGCAGTCCAGACAAGTGGCCCTGACTTTGGGTTCCTTCTGTCCTAACTTCTGGACAGCTGGAATTACAAGCATACGTCACCACATTTGAGCTCAGTTCCTCTCTGATTCCATGTCCAGCCAGGCCTATCCCAAGCCTACCAAGCTCATTCCCGAGCCTAAACCCTCAAGTCACCTCCTTTGGGAGATTTCAGCCATCTAGCCTGATAACCTCTTCCTTAGCCTATCAGCTCTTCAGGGAACAAGTACCCATCACCACACATAGAAATGTTCACATGAGAGATGGCTCGGTGGTTAAGAGCACTGACTGCTCTTCCAGAGGACCCGGGTTCAATTCCCAGCACCCATATGGCAGCTCATAACTGTCTGAAGATCCAGTTCCAGGAGATCTGACACCTTCACACCAATGCACATAAAATAAAGTTAAACAAACCATAAAAATATTTAAAAAATAAAAAATAAATGTTCACATGATATGTCTGCAGGAAAATTTAGGCTTGGGGGACAGTTTGTCTCACCCTTCTGCTAAGGCCACTAAGGCCACTAAGTCTTCCTGTCTCAACCCTCAAGGGCAGAGTCCAACAAAGAAGCAGCACCTGCTACATGCAAACACAGGCAGACAGACACACTACCAGCCAGAGGGTTGCTGAACTCCCCAGCTGGGGAGGGGGGGAGAGACTGGCAGATGGTAATTATCCACTTCCCAGATGCCAATGTGTGTCTGTCTGTCTCCAGTGACTTCCAAGGGGAAAAACTATCCAGGCTCTTCTACTCACCCAGCTCTCCCAGGGGCAGGAGAGTACTTAACTTCCAGGGGACCCAGGGTTCGAATCCCACCACTCACACAGCTGCTCACGACTGTCTGTAACTCCAGTCCCAAGGGATCTGATGCCCTTTTCTGGCTTCTGTAAACATGGTGCACATACAGTCTGGCAAATACCCATACACACAAAATAAAAATAAATGAGTCTTAAAAAAAAAGTCAGGTGCAGAGCAGAATGTTGACCCTGGAAGACAATGCTCAACGTCATTCTTCTATTTTATTTGTTTCCTCTCTTTTTTGTTTCTTTTGAGACAGGGTTTCTCTGTGTAACAGTCCTAGCTGTCCTGGAACTCTCTTTGTAGACCAGGCTGGCCTGAGAGATGCACCTGCCTCTGCCTCCCTCTGCTGGGATTACAATTTTTATCCCTCACAATCTTTCATCTCTCCAATCACTGCCCAACCCCAGCCTGGAAGAGCCTCTTATTTCCTCTCTGCCTACACAAAAGAGTGCCCTAGCCTCCCGGAGGGAGCACTGTTGATCCTCTTACAAAGCTAAGTGGAACCAAGGCTACATTTTGGGTACTAAGGGATTAAAGGAGAGGGGCTGGTTCGAAACAGGAAAGTCTCCCTCAACTTCAAAACATCCATATTAAGTTGGCCTTCTCTTATGACCCCTGGAGGCCTGAAAAGCTCACTTTGATGGCCTCAAAGGCCCTTTCAACACTTGGGTTCCGAGAAACAATGTTTAGAATTATTAGATTCTTTGATAAAGGAGCCCACAGATTTAAGTACCCACTTTGATGGGGCCTCACTGTGTTCTTCCAGAGGAACCAGTAGTATCTGATACCATTAACACGGTGAGCTATTGTGTCCCTTTTACAGACGGGAAAACAGGGCTTGTCAGTAATCACCCAGATAACGACTTTCCTGGGATCCGAAATCCTGCCTCCACCTTCCATAATGAGAGATGGGCGTGGACCAGTGAGGCCGGTCTTCTCTAGGGCTGCTGTAGCTTCTGCTTACCGCAGGCAGATCAGGAAGATGTTAGGGGTGCGAAAGGGGCAATTTAATGGCATATGGTATTGCAGCTGTCGGGGAGGAACTCTGTGGTTTCAATCTTAGTGGCGTTCAAGACCCCTGTAATCTGTCGCGTCTGCCATCTGGCCAAACACAGGCTAAAGCTAGCAGGTGGGATGGGCCTCCCTATAGGCTCAGCCTAAGAAGCCTCTTCCCGCTCGCTTTACACTCAACCGCAGATTTGGCTGCAAGCCCCTAGTTTACAGTTTAAGGGCGAGGACCCAGCTCAGCCCAACTGAGCCACTTAAGGCCGAGTCCTTTGTCGGACACTATTGGGAGAGGAGTGGAAATGTCAAAGGTAATTCGATCCTGCCCATCTCCCTCCCCTGCTCAGGGACAGGATCCACAAGGATCAAGTGACTGCACTCCACACAGCCTGGAATACTTCACACCCACCCTTGGTGTCACACCCAACACGGCCCAAAGGGGCAGAGGAAGGTCAAAGGACCGGTCGCCCGCTGGGAACCGCTGGCCTAAGGAGGGGCTCAGGTGTCCAGGGTCGCTCTACCAACGAGAGAAAGTTCAGGAACTGTGCTCCTCAGGCAGCTCGGCACCCCTCGGCCTCAAAGTCTTCCCACTGGGCTCACTCACCGCACTGACCACCACACGTAAGAAGGGGAGAAGCGATCCACCGGCAGATTCTCTCCACGCTAGCAGAAGTTGAGCAGCCACAGACCCTGCGGGTTGCTGCTGGCTGGGCAATGTTGAGCCCCTCCTGCGCCCCGCCCTCGGGCTACCCGGCCACGCCCAGTCGTCCAATGTGGCTTCAGGCCTGGGACTCCAGCCCCACCCCTGTCGCCCGGCCCCTCCCCCCACAGTCTCTTGAAGCTCCGAGGGCCTTGCCGGAACTTTCTTCACACCGCCCGAGCTCTGCCCTTTGGGCCCGCCTTTAGATTGGTGCCTCGGGTTCCACCTCCCGCCTCAGGCACCGCCCAGCAATGAGCTGGCCACCCGCTAGCCTGATTTATCCCTAGGCCTTATGGGAGATGTAGTTCTAAAGGAAGAAGGAGTTGCTGAATGTTAGGGTTCTTGCAACTCCAGACTAGGCTTGCTATGTGTATGAGAGCACCTCAAGGTGAGGGGCAGAGTAGCTGTGGTGGTTTGAGGATGACTCCCATAGGCTCAAATATTGTGACTGCATAGGTACCTTAGGTACCTAGGTACTGTTTGATAGGATTACAAAGATTAGGGGGCATGACTTTGTTGGAGTAAGAACGGCCTTGTTGGCGGAAGTGTGCCACTCAGGGCAGGCTTTGAGGTTTCAAAAGCCCATTCCAAGCCCAGAGAGTCTCATCAGAACTCTCAGCTACTTCTCCAGCTCCATGCCTGCCTGTTGCCATGCTCCCCCAATGATAATGGACTAACCTCTGAAACTGTAAGCAAGCCTCCAATTAAATGCTTTCTCTAATAAGAGTTGCTGTGGTCATGGTGTCTCTTCCCAGCAATAGAACAGTGACTAAGAGGTCTTTGGGAATCCATCATTCCCTCTAAATTTGGGCAAATGGATACTTTAACGAACTAGTGCAGTGCAAGGGATGGGAAGCAGGCAAAGGCACTTGCCACCGTCAGCTGACCCAAGTTTGATCCCTGGAACCCACGGAGTGGAAGGAGAGAGCTGACTCCACATGGCACATACAATAAGTGGAAAAACAGGTATCACAATTCTGGGATGACCTGTGCTCCCACTGCTCACCACTAATACCCCAGTCACAAGCTTCACAGGGGGAACTTGTAGACCCAAACAGCCCGTGTTCTAAGCCTTCAGTTCTCACGGGACCAGACCAACTATGTCCCTGTTTCTGCTCAGTGTGTGGCAATGCCCACTCTCTGATCCATAATGTGTAGCTCCTGCTCTCAGTGACAACCTTAGTTAGTAATGTCTGTGCTGGCTGGGAGATAATGGCACACTCCTTTAATACCGGCACTCAGGAGGTAGACACAGGTGGATCTCCACGAGTTCAAGGCCAGCCTGGTCTATAAAGAGAGTTCCAGGACAGTTACACAGAGAAACCCTGCCCTGAAAAACAAAACAACACAAAAAGCTGGTGCTTTGTCCATACCCTTTTCCCTAAAGCAAGCAGTGGGGCAAGAGAAGATTCTAGAACACCCCACCCTCTGCTCCCTTGTAGGACAGAGAAACGTGTTACAATGGGAAGTTTCTTGATCACGAGTCTTTCCAAAAATGATGTTCTGTAGCTCTTAGACTGGGCAGGGGAGGGTGGCAAAGGTGTCTGAGCAGAGAGAGCCTTTGGGAGGTGATCGGAGTCTGTTTATGGGTACATTGGGGGAAATGTCGGCTAGAGGGTCTTCAACGTTGATGGAGCTACATGCCTAGCTGGGCTCAAGCTCTGAGGTGATGGGGAAGAGGACATCAGCAGGGTTACTTCTGTATCAGGAGGGCACTTAGGGGTGTCCTGAGGTGACTGGAAAGGGGGGGGGGTTCACATCCAGATCTTTCTAGGTAAGGACACAGGAAGCAGTCTTTGCGGTGAAGAGTTTATTGCTCCACCCTCTTCCTTGACCTGGCCAAAGCGTTACCAGGAATGGTAGACAGGATAGGTCTCAGACACAAACTCAGGGTGGACAACATAGTTGTTTCTCTGGGGACCACCAGTTTTCTTGAAGTGGCTTGTGTCCCATCTGCAAGGAGAGACGAACCTGACTCCAATTCTCCATATTAACCTTATCTCAACATTTCACTTCTGACCTCCGTTCTCCTGTTGATTTTCTGATATCCAAGACATACCTTCTCAACCTTGACTTTTATCCTTTATATAAAACCCTGAACCCAATTCCATTGACTTTAAGTCCACTGCCAACTCAAGCCCTCGTTGATGTCTTCTGGTCTCTCGCAACCGTTGACTTCCCCATGGCACTAGCGCCCCCTGGCGTTAGATTTCCTGTCTGAGCACCTCAACATGCATTTCCCACCCCAACTAGTCTCCCCGCTCATCCCCCACCGCCACTAAAGGCACTGTCTCCAGCGTACAAGTGAATGCGCCAAACTTACTTAAGGTTGGGAAATGGGTAGTATGACAGCGGGGGAGTTGTAACAGCACATTGCATTCCGGGCCGGTGAACGTAGGGCGAGACACTCCTAGTGAAGGAAGAAAGAGCAGGGAGAGGTCGGGCTTTTTGATATCCTCATAGCCCAGTAGTCCAGACTAAGAACGTGGATACAGTATCAGTCCTGTGGTTCCTTCTTTGGCCCTTCATAAACCCATTACAGCAGGGCCTCTGAGAAGGCTCCAGGAAGTCCCCTCCGCACCAAGGCCTGGCTTTTGCTGCCAGGAGTCTGGAGAGGATCAGATACAGCCTTTGAGGATCCAGCACGCCCCCGCCCCTTCCGTGAGACCGCGAGTTCTTCAACTCAAGTAGATAGCATTTCTAGGCCTTCTAGAGGCTGAGACGCTCCCCATACCCACACTCCTTCTGAGGGAAAAGATCCAATTTTTGACAATGAATCAGGCTTGAGGAGGGGTAGGAGATCATCATAGAATTAGGGAGAGCGTTCGGGGCTTTTCTGTAAAGCTCTAAACAGTCACAGACTTGAAAGTTTCTCCCCAGACCCAACTGGTATTGTCTGCTGTGTCTGGATGCAGTGCTCCTCTGTGCGCATAGCATTTAGCACTCAAGGAAGCCAGGAACCCTATGGGAAAGCAGTAACCACTTCCTTTCTCCCGATGATGAACCTGCCCCCTGCTGACGGTGCTCCCAGACCCAGGCTAGAACCTCTGCCTCCAGTCCCAGGAGTCCAGTACGGGCCAGGGCCCATGAATGTGAAAAAGATTGCGGCTGGTGTGAGGGCTTTAGAATCCTCTTAAACTGTTTTTGCAGGATCTCAAGAGTACAAACACTTATCAGGTTGACCTTGAGCACGCTAGGAAGGGACAGGATTGAGGACTTGGGGTAACCTTCACGCTGGTTTTCCGCCTTAGCTGTTCGCTTGTGCCCTGGGGATGGGGGCCTGGCGTGTTAACAACAGAGCCAGAATGAGGCAGAATGCGGGACTCTAGGGGGGCAGGGCTCGTTTGTGAGTGGAGCCCGGCCAAGGCGGGCGGATCCCTGCGAACCTTACAGTCGGCTCCTCGGAACACAAAGGCCGCAGGCGGCGTTCTCTGCTAGTCTCCCCGGTGGTGCAGTAGTCCATCCCGCGCAGACAGTAGTGGCGGCCGGAGCAAGGGCTTTGGTATCCTTGGAATGGCAGGCGGCCCGGCAGAGGGTCCACGCACCCGCAGCGGGGCGCAATCTGTGGCAGAGTCCGGTTCCGGGACAGCGAATTCAGCATGTTCACTACTACCTCGCGCTCTGAGCCCAGAGTCCAGGATACCCAAAGACAGGGTCAGAGGGACGGGGGGGAAAGCAGGATCAGCGTCCGAGGGAGAGACAAAACAGGGACAGACTCACAACTACACCCTCTCTTGGTCCGCCATATCCCCTTCCTGCCATCTGGTTTTCTCCTTCGCACTCAGTAAGCCTGCCCAACCCGCCGTTTACCGTAGGCGTTGAGGCGCTCGGGCTTAGGAGGGTACTCCAACGGCATTCCTCGCACTACCGTCTCCATCCCGGCATCCTGGAAGCGGCACACAGTCTACCTTAAGCTCTGTCACGAGACAAGTTGCTTCTTTTTTTTTGGGGGGGGGGGGCTGTCTTCCCTGAATGCCCAGACTGTCTTCAGGCGGCGCAGTCTCCCCTCCTCCGCAATTCCCCCATTCTTAGGGGTTGTTTGGAGTTGTTGCTGGGCAACGCATTTGCTCCGCCTACGCCGGCAGGGTGAAGGTGAGGATGCTAGAACCCGAGTCAGGGGTGAGTGGTAGAGGTGCTTTTAGGCCTGGGACTCTGACAACTCTACTTTATCATTTGCCCATATGCCCTCTGTGTCTGGGCGTCTCTATAAAAGGGGGCTCTAGCTAATATTGCTTGTTCATCAGAATCTCTTGGGGGAACTTGAGGGGTGGGGAATCCGATTCACGAGAAAGTTCTCTTTCAAAAGGGTTCAGCCAGCTTTCAGCCTCCCATTAAACTGGGCTGCTCTGGATTTCAGTTTGCCTTACATGGCTTGAAACAGGCCTGGAGACTCCATTTTCTTGGAAGTCTCCTCTTGCTGTTGAGCAGTCTCATCTTTCTCCTATCCTTGTTCCCATCACAATGGAGGGGGAAAGTGGGGCAGGAAGGACCTACTTCATTACTGACTCGAGGGTAGCAATGGCGTCACAGTAGCCAGACCAGATGAGGCAGGGCTACTTGACAAACTTCAAAAACGGTCAAGGAGTGCACAGTAACTATGCCGCCACCAAGCTGGGTCAGAGATTGGAACCCAGGGGTCTATCCCAGGCCAACTCCTGGTCGCCATTGTTAGCTAAAAAATAAAAACTCCAATTTTACTGATGGAGAAGAGTCTCCGCCGTGTGGAGATGGTGTGCGTGTGTGAGTGCATGCCTGCGTGCGTGCGTGCGTACGTGCATGTGTGTCCCAGACCTCAGGTAGCTGTGGTCGGAACAGTAGGTACCTTAGGCAGTCGGGGGAGACAGGTGGTGTACTTGTTCCAGTAGTTGCTGTAAGGTCCTGTCCTCCATGTGTTGTAGCGGTCATTGTCCAGGTAGCTTGAACAGCATTTGTCCTCTTCATCATAGGAGTGGAGGCGTCAGGGTTACTTCTCAGTCCACCCAGAGACCGGGACCGTCTAGATGTTTCTGATCTCTCTCACAAAGCTGACCCTCACTGACCCGGGTTCCCAAGTCCAGACCTGCAGATCCCTTACCAATTGGTTATTCACTTTGGAGGCGGGATCTTACCAGGTAGCCTGGAGTTCTGTGTAGCTTAGGCTCCTTCCTCACCTTCCCTAGTCCTAGTGATGGGATTACAGGCCTGGAACACCATGCCACTGTCTACCATTTCTGTGTTTGGTTTGGTTTTGCCATTGAGCTGCAGAAAATGTCTCACCTAAGGGATGCTCTCGAGCCAAGTATGTATCCATTGGGCTATAATCTTCCAGCCCGACTGCACCCTCTTTGTATCAGCCAGCCTGGAAACGGGGCATCCCCTCCCTCTAGCATGTCCAGGTCCCAAGGTCTGCCTAGTCAACCTTAAAGCTACTTGAACTTCTTCCCTCTTCCTCTATGATCTCACTCCTTTATCCTTGTGTTGCCTTCACCAGGAGACAAAAATAATGTCATGGTTAGAGATGCACTGCGGTGCAGTGCCTGGCGTCAAGTTTCAGCGCGGCAGGGGAAAAAGGTGCAGGATTTGTTGTGAAGTCTAGATGAGTCAATCTATACAAAAGTTTTAGAAAAATGCTGAACATAGTGGCTCCTGCCTGTAGTTCCAATGGGCTGAGGCAGGAAAATTGCTTTGAGTTCAAGGCCAGCCTGGACTATATAATAATATCCTGATTAAAAACACCAAAACAAAGAGACAAAAAGCCCAGACGAACCCAGGCCTGAGGAGGTGGAGGCAGAAAGATCAAGAGTTTAAGGTCCTCCTGGGCTACAGATGGAGTTCAAGGTCAGCTCTGGGCTACCTGAGACCCCGTCTAAAGAAGAGCAGCAGGGAACGAGGAGGAGGAGGAAAGAAGTAAATGAATGCTTGGCGCGTAGAAAGCTGTTGGGGTTAGCCTACATGTCTACTCGCTCCATCTTTGAAGTCCTACAACATAACATCAGTGTAGAAGTTACGACCCTTTCCCACGAGTGAAATTTAAAACAAGATACTATTTATTCTAGTCCAAAACCTTTTAGTACTGCTTCATCTTTTTTTTTTTTTGGTTTTTCGAGACAGGGTTTCTCTGTGGCTTTGGAGCCTGTCCTGGAACTAGCTCTGTAGACCAGGCTGGTCTCGAACTCACAGAGATCCGCCTGCCTCTGCCTCCCGAGTGCTGGGATTAAAGGCGTGCGCCACCATCGCCCGGCTCTGCTTCATCTTTTAACCATGTCCTCCAAGGCTCTCTATGGTCTGCCCCCGCAAGTCTGAAGGACAGAGACAGATGAGGGACAGGATGAATAAGAACTCTGGCCTGATGGTGCATTCCTGCAACCTCAGCATTTGTGGGGCTTAGGTTGGAGGCTCACCTAGGGTTCGAGGCCAGCCAGGATGACACTGTGTATTTTAGGCTAGCCTGGGCTACAGAAGAACCAATGAGTAAAGGTATTTGCTACCAAGCCTGACAATCTGAGTTCAATCCCTGGGACTCGTGTGGTAGAAGGACAGAATAGATTCCGCAAAGTTGACCTCTGACCTCCACATATGGACTGTGACGTGTCTTGTCCCCCATACACGCATACGAAACCGATACATGTAATAAAAATATTTTTAAAGAATGAGCATGGTGACACAGCTCGTAACCCTAGCGCTCAGGAGGCAGAGGCAGGCAGATTGCTATGGGTTCCAGACAGCTTGGTCAACACATCCAGTTCTGCACCGGCCATGGGTACATAGTGGGACACTGCCTCAAAACCAAGCCAAACCAAACCAAAACCAAAACCAAAATTAACCAAACCAAAACCAAAATAACCCAAGCTCTAGAAAACCATAAAAGAAATCCAAGAAGAACAGCTGCCTGAGGGGAGGGAGGAGAGTGTTAAATTTTTTAAAAATATTTATTTATTTATTATGTATACAATATTCTGTCTGTCTGTATGCCTGCAGGCCAGAAGAGGGCACCAGACCCCATTACAGATGGTTGTAAGCCACCATGTGGTTGCTGGGAATTGAACTCAGGACCTTTGGAAGAGGAGGCAATGCTCTTAACCTCTGAGCCATTTCTCCAGCCCCTGAGAGTGTTAAATTTGCTGTTCTAAACCAGGGGATTTAACATACTGAGTTTGAGGTGTTTGAACATCCAGGTCAAAGTGCAAGAGAGTGGGATACTAATGAGGTTTACAAGGACAGTAACTACAGCCATGGACCGGCAGCATGTGTGAGCACTAACTGCTCTTCCAGAGGACCCAGGTTCAATTTCCAGCACCCGCATGGAAGCTTATACCTGTCTGTAACTCCAGTTCCAGGGGATCTAACATCCTCACATAGACATACATGCAGGCAAAACATCGATGCCCAGAAAACAAAAATAAATAAATCATTTAAAAAAGTAATTAAAGGGGCTGGAGAGATGGCTCAGTGGTTAAGAGCATTGCCTGCTCTTCCAAAGGTCCTGAGTTCAATTCCCGGCAACCACATGATGGCTCACAACCATCTGTAATGAGGTCTGGTGCCCTCTTCTGGCCTGCAGACATACACACAGACAGAATATTGTATATATAACAAATAAATAAATACATATTAAAAAAAAAGAAGTCAGTGTGGTACAGCACCATAAAATGTGTGCTCATTTAAAAAAAAAAGTAATTAAAGCCATGTATGGATTACATAAAATGGCCTCAGGGGAGACAATGTGGGTAAAGGTGCTTATACAGAAAGCCTGGTTTGAACTCCAGCCCTGGAGCCCACTTAAAGGAGAGAACAGAAGCCGGTTGCCCTGACCGCCAGATGTGCCGTGGCATATTTCTCCACTACCCCTGTCTGCAAGTCAAAGATGACGGCTCTGGATAGCACCCCAAGGAAGCTCCCATTTCCACACTGAGTGTGCTAGAGACAGGGAAGTTGAAGAAGGAGGTTATTTCAGGGAGAGCGTGGTCAGAAGAGTGGAATGCAGGGCCCGTCTCAGAGACTAAACCCTGAATGTTCCCACGGGTGTGATAATCTCACACGCAAGTACAAGTTCAGTGTTCCAGGCTCCCAGCGTCAACTGGGAATTATCAATTTATCCAACAAAGCTTGGAAATAAATGTACCAATAAAGTCCCACGATAGAGAGGGTACAGCTATGAAGAAGACAACATTTTGTCCTTTTGAAATAGACAGGGAGACAGATCCTAAACATGTAGCCAGGGGAGAAAGGTGTTTTTTAAGAAACGATGTGAGTCTAGACTATGTCTCTGTGAAAGAACAGAGCAAGATAAAAAACTGTAGGTGGAAAGAAAATGCCCCGGGCTGTAGAAGGGCTGAGAGACAGACAGCTGGAGAAAGCCAATGGAGAAGGCTGATTAAGGGGATGGAAGAGACAGGACCTGTAGGAGGCAAATCCTGTCCCCACCTTGCTGGGGGTGAGACTCCAGGCCTTGCCAATGATGTTTGTCTTTCCAATGGTATCTGGCCGTGTTCAAGTTGGTCTCAATCTGCTAGGCTCAAGTGATTGTCCTGCCTCAACCTCCTGCGTGCTGAGACCAGTACCTATTTGCCACCATGCCTGGCTAGATTCCAGCTCTATTTTGAGACTGCAAACTCCCAAAAAATATGGGTTTGAGTCTTCTCTAGGGTCAAGGACTGGACTAGGTGATAGTATCAGGGGGTTGATTAGGGAACTGGTCTAATTCATGAGTAAGAAGGTCAGGACAAAGATCAGGATCCAAACTGGGCTCAAGTCTCAAGTTGAGGGTTATTGCCGGGGCAATGACCTAGGGTCAAATTAGGAAGAGGTTGAGAGCCTACCTTCATCTTGAGAGAGCCAGTATTTCTCAGGCAAGTAAGGGTGGCCTGATATGGAGTTCTTATAGGTGTAGTCCTGTGTAGCACATTTGACCATCTTCTGAAGAGCCTCGGGATCCACATGGCGGTGCATAGTCTGAGTCAGACCCTGGCCGGAGGGAGAGAGGAGGAGACATGTAGAGAGATCCCAAGCCTTGGAACCTCACTGCAGTTAGAGCTAGCCTTTCCTGAAAAGTTCGGCCTGCCTGGATTCCCACCTACCCCCCAATACAAGAGGGATGAATTCTAGTGTCTCACTAGCCCTCCTGCAGAGACCTATTTTTGTTTTAATTTTAATTTTCTTTCTTTTTAAAAAAACCTTATTTATTATTTCTTGTGCATTGGTGCCTTGTCTGCATGTATGTGTGTATGAAGGTGTTGGACCCCCTGGAGTTGGAGTTACAGACAGTTGTGAGTTGCCATGTGGGTGCTGGGACTTGGACCCAGATCCTCTGGAAGAGCAGCCAGTGTTCTTAACTTCTGAGCCATCTCTCCAGCCCTTAATTTTAATTTTCTGGGTATGAGTGTTTTGCCTACATGTGTGTACACGCATCACATAATGCAGGGTCTGAAGAGGCCAAAAGAGGGCACCAGAACTCCAAGAACTGGAGTTACAGGCATTGGCGAGTCACCATGTGAGTGCTAGGAAGAGAATGTTTGCTCCACAAGGGTAACTGGCGTTCTTAACCTAGACGGAAGGCTGACTTCCTGGGAACTGACTGCCCTATGCAGATTTCTGGGGCAGGGAGGACACCTAGCACCTTGAAGCCAAAGGATGGGTTTGGTGGGACATCTGCTTTAACGTTTAACACCCTGTCTCTACAAGACCCAAACACTGCCGTGGCTCTTTCTCTGACAATCTATGACCTTGAGTCTCACTTTGTTCTGGTCATTATCTATCCTTGATAGTTTTTCCTGTTTTTCTGTTTGTTTGTCTTCTTCTTCTTCTTCTTCTTCTTCTTCTTCTTCTTCTTCTTCTTCTTCCTCTTCCTCTTCCTCCTCCTCCTCCTCCTCCTCCTCTTCCTCCTCCTCCTCCTTCTTCTCCTCCTCCTCATCCTTTTTTTTCTTCCAAGTCAGGGTTTCTCTGTACTCTTAGAGCCTGTCCTGGAACTAGCTCTTGTAGACCAGGCTGACCTTGAACTCACAGAGATCCACCTGCCTCTGCCTTCCGAGTGCTGGGATTAAAGGCATGTGCCACCATCACCTGAATATTTTTTTTTCCCAAGACTGGGTTTCTTTGTGCATCCCGGACTGTCCTGGAACTGTAGACCTTGATTCACCTTGATTCGCCTGCCTCTGCCTCCCGCGTCCTGGGCTTAATGGCCTGCGCCACCCCTGCCCCTGCTTTTTTCCTTTTCTTATTCTTGTCTCTGGAGTCTTCTACTTATTGAAGTTTATTTCACCTCAGCCCAGCACTCCTTGTTTGGATAGATCTATGAAAACCTGAATGAAGACTTCCTTTTGGGGTCCCTTGTCTTCAACTGAGGGCAGAAATCCAAATAAGGCATAGGTCCCATGTCCCATAGCCAGTCTGAAAAGCTAGCTGAGACCCTTGACCCTTTGATTTCAAAGGCAAAGACTTTTTATGTGTGTGTATGGCTGATGCCTGGTTGCTCCCAGAAAAGTCCTTAGTTCAGGACCTTGGGGGATAATGTGTGCCTAGCTGATGATGTTCTGCCATATCTGTGGGTGGAAGCAGCTTCATGTGCAAGGGAGCTATAGTTCAGCGCTTCCCTGAGCTTTATATACATAGTCTAGCTGCATTTAAACACACACACAGATGTACATTCTTATATACACATACTAAATATTCTTCCTAAACCGTCAGACACACACACACACACACACACACACACAGAGAGAGAGAGAGAGAGAGAGAGAGAGAGAGAGAGAGAGAGAGAAGCAGCCATTCAGGGCTGGATCAGTGAAGTGTCAGCTGGGCAAGCATGGAGACCTGAGTTTTGGATTGTAAAAAAAGCCAGGTGCAGTGAAGCATGCTTATTTTTTTTAAGATTTTATTTATTTATTTATTTATTTATTTATTTATTTATTATGTATACAGTGTTCTGCCTCCATGTATGCTTGCATGCCAGAGAGGACACTAGATCTCATTGTAGATGGTTGTGAGCCACCACCAGGTTGCTGGAATTGAACTCAGGACCTCTGGAAGAGCAGCCAATGTTTTTAACCTCTGAACCCTCTCTCCAGCCCGTGAAGGATGCTTATAACCCTCATGCTGAGAGCAGGGAGCGGAAAACAGGCAGATCCCTGTAGCTCATTGACCAGTGAGAACAGCTGAGTCTTTGAGTCCCATGTTCTGTGAAAGGCGCTGTCTCAAATAAGATAGCTAGATGGAGGGTGCGGAGAGAGAGCTCGGTAGTTAAGTCCCTTGCTGTGTTTGAAGAGGACCTGGGTTCGCTTCCCAGAACCCACATGGTGGTGGCTCAACAGGTGGAACTCCAGTTCCAAGGGATCTGATACCCTCTTCTGACCTCCAGGGACTTGTGCACAGTGCACAGATGTGTGTACAAGCAAAACACGCTTTAAAAAAAAATGGAGAACAATTGAAGGAGACTCCCAGTATCAACTTCAGGCCTCCACTGGTACAGAACACACACACACACACACACACACACACACACACACACAGAGAGAGAGAGAGAGAGAGAGAGAGAGAGAGAGAGAGAGAGAACCATTTAGAAGAACTCACAGGCATCAACCATTTTTCTGTTAGAGGTTTTCCTAAGATGTCTGTGGTCTTTGCTCACGTTCATAAATAGAAAGCTAAGAGAGTTTGTATCCGAGGCCTTGAGCGATCTTGCCCGGGTAACTGGCATGGCGCCCACCCCTAGTCCAACTGGACTGTTGCCTGCAGAGTCTAACACCAGTGTTCCTCACACCTTTCCTCTTGTGGGGATGGGATTCTTTGGGAAGGCTCCTTTAATCTTTGGCGTAGTGAAAAGACCCAGCTGTCAGTGCAGAGAGGGCTGCCGGGGGTTTTGACCGTCAATATACGGATGCGCATCTGCTTTCAAGATCCTTGCCAGGAAAAAGAGGACAGAAAAAAAAAAGCCTGTGACTTTTCTAGAGACAGAGCCAGGCAGTCAGCCCGCAGCAAGGAATAAAAACGATGAGTAGGTTTAACTGCTTAAATGACTTTCAAATATCCATATTTTAGCCTTGGTCCTATTGCACCTTCAGTTCCAGAGAACCCCAGTGGCCTATCCCTGAGCCTTTCGGAATTCTGTATCCGAATGATGTCGGCCGTCCCACTCCTGGCTTTCCGACCGCTTTCTCAGGCGTGCTGTGCTAGGCCAGTTGCTGCTCTCTGTCATTCTTCCCGCTTGCCAGGTTTTCTTGCCACTAGCGTTTTCTCACCGCCCTTGTGAAGCTGGGTCTCGGGTGTCTGTTTACTGTAGTTTCGGGCAGGGGTCAGAAGGCATGTGTGTTCAATTTTAGCCCAGAGGATTATACTTCTTTATGTATTCTGTATACTAATCAGTTACATGTTGCAAATCTCTCAGTTTGTGGCTTTTTTCTTTAATGTGTCTTTGATGAACAGAAGTTCTTCATTTAAACCAGCTGAATTATTAATCTGTTTGATGGTTAATGCCTTTTATGGGTAAAGAAATCTGGCCATACTCTCAGATAATGGAAATGGTGTTCTGTGTTCTCTTCCGAAAGTTATATGGTATTACTTTCCATATTTAATCTGACAGGACTTTCATTTTGGGTGTGGTATTAGATATTAATTTTATTTCTATCCATATGAACCACTAGCTTTCTTACCAAGCAGTCTATTTTTCTTCCGTGGATTTGTCATGCTGCCCCAAGCTCGATGAATCCTTTTCCATGGTTTTATTGTCAACCATTTTTACTTAATATTGTTTCCGTATATGTATGAGTCTATTCTTGATGTATGCTCTTTTGTTTAACTCATCTATTTATTGTTTTGTATAACTTTTTAATTAACATATGTGATTAATATCTATTTGGAATTTTAAAAAGATTTATTTACTTATTCTGCCTGCATATACATGTCCAGGCCAGAAGAGGGCACCAGATCTCTTTATAGATGGTTGTGAGCGACCATGTGGTTGCTGGGAATTGAACTCAGGACCCCTGTAAGAGCAGCCAGTGCTCTTAACCCCTGAGCCATCTCTCCAGCCCTTGGAAAATTCCTTATCATTTGTTTGTGTGTGTGTGTGTGTGTGTGTGTGCAACTGTGAATATATGGATGTTCTTGTGAAGGCCAAGGCAATGTTCAATGTCTTCCTTTATCAGTCTCTGCCTTACTTTTGAGACAGGGTCTCTCACTGGGCCCGGAGATCTGGTTGAGTGACTTGCCAAAGGGCCCCAGGGGTCCTCCTGCCTCAACTTCCCCAGCTATGGCATTACAGGCGTGAGTCACTGCACCTGGCTTTTTACACTGGGTGTTGGGAATTGAATTGACATCCTCATGCCTGTACAGCAGCCACCTTACCAATGCAGCCGTCTCCCCAGTCCCACTTATCCTTCTTTCTTTCCTTCCTTCCTTCCTTTCTTCTTCTTGTTTTTTTTTTTTTCAAGACAGGGTTTCCCTGTAGCTTTGGAGCCTGTCCTGGAACTCGCTCTGTAGACCAGGCTGGCCTAGAACTTACAGAGATCCACCTGCCTCTGCCTCCTGAGTACTGGCATCAAAGGCGTGCGTCACCAGCACCCAGTTTTCTTATCTTTTTATCAGTGTTGGGGATGCAATCTAGGGCATCAAGCATGCTCCGCAAGTGCTCTACCACCAAGCGGCACCGCCAGCCTTGATTTGTCCTACATCTTATTGTGAACGTATGTTGTTTGTGGCACTTTGGATACCTGAAGACCTGCAGTGAGGGTATTTTCTCCCATAGAAGTTATACAGTGGTTTGTGTGTGTGTGTGTGTGTGTGTGTGTGTGCATGCAGGTGTGAAAGTGTGTGTGTGTGTGTGCAGGTTTGTGTTGCATGTATGCAGGTGTGTGTGTGCATGCATGTAGGTGTGATGTAGGTGGGTCTTCTATCTATCTGTTGTTTCATTGGTTAATTAATAAAGAAAACTGCTTGGTCTGATAGGTCAGAACATAGGTGGGTGAAGTAGACAGAACAGAATGCTGGGAAGAAGGGAAGTGAGGCAGACGCCAAGGAGCCAGCGGCCAGGTCAGACATGCTGAATCTTTCCTGGTAAGCCACCACCTTGTGGCGCTACACAGATTATTAGAAATGGGTTAATCAAGATGTGAGAGTTAGCCCATAAGGGGCTGAAACTAATGGGCCAGGCAGTGTTTAAAAGAATACAGTTTGTGTGTTGTTATTTCCAGGGCTAATCTAGCCATGTGGGAGCCAGGTGGGATGAAAAACAGTCCTGCAGCTCATCACTACATAGGTGTGTGTTATGTGTGTATGCAGGTGTGAGTATGTGTGTGCATGTAGGTGTGTGTATATGCAGGTATGTGTTGTGTGTACATGCAGGTGTATGTGTGTATGCAAATCTGTATTGTGTGTATGCAGGTATGTGTTGTGTGTACATGCAGGTGTATGTGTGTGTATGCAAATGTGTATTGTGTGTGTATGCAGGTATGTGTTGTGTGTACATGCAGGTGTACGTGTGTGTATGCAAGTGTGTATTGTGTGTGTATGCAGGTATGTGTTGTGTGTACATGCAGGTGTGAGTATGTGTGTGTATGCAGGTGTGAAGGTGTGTGCAGGTGTGTATGCTGGCGAGTGTGTGTGAATGGGTGTGTGTGTGCATGGGTGTGTGTGTGAATATGCAAAGGTTCAGAAACACTGGACCTTGAATTTCAGTCTGGAGCCCCCAGATTTAGTTCCTCTGCTTTCCCTAGTTAAGCATATGCGTCTCACGTGGCGCTGACATTGGCATTTGTTACCAGGCAATCCTGTCTTTCTTATCACTATATTTATCACTCGTGGTTGTTCAAAATAGAATAAAAATTAAAAATTAACTTCATGTGAGACTTAGGGCTTTATACAGGTATCCGTATGCAGCCCAATTTAGCTCAATTTGCCGTCTTCCAAGCTCCCCCTTCCTCCTTACTTTTTTCAGAGCACATTTGGACAAAAATACTTTATAAATTTCTATTCGTGAATTTCTTTTGTTACCACAAGCTCTAATTCCCACACACTCATTGTTCCTCACCTGTCTCCAGACACAGAAGGGACTGTGATGCCTAGGCCTAGGGTCAGCCTCTTGGGCCTTCCAGGCTGTCTTACAGGTAGCCCCAGGGCATTTGCACTTTCTGGTCACGTGGAACTTTCAGCTCTCTTTTAACTCTTTACCTGCTTTTCCCTTTTCTTTCTCGTTCCAGCTGAAGGTCACCTTGAGAGAAAGGCCTTCTGTGACCCGTGGGAGTGGGCTTCCTCCACTTCCATTATGATGTTTATTTGCTGGACAGCATTTTGGACAACTTAGAAATTCTGTGGCTTTATTCTTGTTTATCATTACTCCCGCCCCACTGTAGTCCCATGAGAACAGGACCCTATACTATTTTCCACACTGCTGGAGGGTTGAGGCAGGAGGATTGCTTGGGAAACGGAGCGAGTTCAGGGGACCCTCATATCAAACTTTAAGAAGCTGGGGCGATGGCTCAATGAGTAATAGCACCTGCTGTGTAGGCACGAGCCCTGAGTTTGGATCCCCAGTATTCATGTAAACAAAAAGGATACAAACGAAAAATACTTAAAAAATTAAATTAAAAAAATTTAATAGCTAGCGTTATAGTTCAGGGAGTAGAACACTTAGCATGCTTGACACCTGGATTTGATTTCCAGCACCACAAAATGAACAATGACACACACAAAAAAAATAAAGGCAGGTATGGTGATGCACATGCTACAATCCCAGCACTCGAGAGGCTGAGGCAGGAGGATGAGGAAAGTAAGGCAAGTTACACTACAAGTTTAAGGCCTGACTGTGTTATTAGACTCTGTCTTAATAAAGGCAAAGCAGTCACAGAATGGCTAGGCATGGGTCATGCCTGCAACCCCAGGCAACGTGGGAGGTTGAAGTAGGAGCATTGTCACAAGACGAAGGCCAGCCTAGGCTTGGCCTTGTCTCAACAAACAAACAAACAAACACATAAATGAAAAAAAATACCAAAAATAACTACAAACACAGGGACAGCGGCCAGTCATCCAGATACACGATTGTATAACCATGCCACCCGAAACCTGTACTTACTGGGGTCACAAACTTGTTGGCTTCCCAGGCCCATAGAGGTGGGTCCTTATAGACCTCCTTGATGGAGGTAGGAGCCCTGTAGGAGTCACTGTAGGTGCTGATGGGGGTCTTGGTCTTCCGGGAGAAGAGGAACATGGTGGAGTCTCAGGGATGTTCTAGTGGGCTCTGCCTTTCAAGGACTCCTGCTGGACATCAGTGACCACCCCTTCCCGGAGATAGCCCACACCTCCAGCCTGGAAGGTGCCCCAGCTGCTGTGACCCCCTCCTTTTTGGGGACCTCTCAGTGTCCTTCCCCCCTCGGCCTTCTTGCTTCTACCCCACCCAACTTCCTTTTCAGGATGGGCAGTGCCCATTGTGATATCACTTGCCTTGGCCGCACCCTTTCCTCCCTATGCCAGCCCCTTCCTGCCTTGAACCTTTCAAAACCCTCATTTCCCAAGAGTTCAGGAAGCCCCTAGAAAACTTTTAGGCCACACTTCTCACTGCTGAAGACAGGCAGAGGTTAGGAGGGGCTTGATGGACTAGGGCCACACACCAGGAACAAGCAGAGGGAGGGACAATGTGCATCCAGGGGGTCAGTTTCCTCCCTTCCTCGGCCCACACCCCAGGTAAGGAGCTCAGTCTGGCTTGTTTGATGCTTTTAATATCATTATTTGTGTTACACGATACACAACCAAGGATGATGGTCAATACTGCGATGGAAATGTTAAAAAAAATATTATACACGGCTCATGTCTTCCACACACCTTCTTGGAAATAAATTAGTGAGCTCGGAGAAACCTGGCTGGGTGGCAGCCACAGCCGAGGGTGGGGGAGTGTTAAGGCAGTATCTACAAGGGGTGGGGAAGCAGAGGCAAGCTAAGGCCCTGGCTCTTCCCCTTCAACTTCCAGACAGTGAGGGAGGGCACCTTGGACTCTCCTTGGACACAGAAGCTGCTGGCTGCCAGCTTCCTATCCCTACCCGCTGTGTATGAACCACCTCAGTCTAAAGCCCTTGCCTGCTAATGAACAAGTCTGTCCCGTGGGGAGGGCGCTTCCCCGGCTCTCAGGGCCACAGACGTCAAATGGGCCAGAATCCCACAGTTAGTCGGCAGCAGAGTCAGCAGTCTAAAAGAGGAGGTACCCATGTTCTAGAAGGCGAGCCAAAGAGCCCATTGGGGTGGGGTCGTAGGAGTTCTAGTTCTGGGGCCCAGAGGATGGGTGGTGGGGATGCTAACCAGGGTGGGGGAGGGGGCCACTATGGGCCTCGTGGCCTGGCACATACTTTCTCTGACTTGCCTCCTTTGGCATTTTCTCATTGTCTAGTTAGGATCTCTGCACTAGGGTAGGTAAGCTGGGAAGGAGGTGTGGGGGTTGGAGAGCTATACTCTGACACTTTGGAGTGGCAGCCCCCGTGTGGTGTGGTGTAGGAGAGGTGCTCTCCTTCCTAAGCCAACAGCCCCACCCCTCCCTCTCACCATGTCCGCTCTAGCTCCCACCTCCCAGGACTGGCACCCAGAGCGTGGTGTGTGAGCGTAGTAGCCATGATAGCGGAAACACCAGCTGTCTGGGGTGTCAGCAGGAGGCCTGAAGAAGCTACACTTTGGCCACTTTGGCTAGGTGAGAGGAGGCTGGTGGGGCATAGACCTAGCAGTCTGAGGCTGTCTGTGTTTCCAGTTGTCTTCACACGAGGGCAGGTCTATTACTGCCCAGCCAGCAGAGAGCCACCATCCCCTCCTCACTGAGTTACATCCTCAGCTTTCCCTCCCCAGATCAGCCAGAGCAGCAGAAACAACAGTATGCACGACACCCCATACAGCTGCACGCGCGCGCATGCGCGCGCACACACACACACACACACACATTCGCATGTGCTCCCATGTCTACACAGGCACACACCCTCAGAGACAGATCTCATGGCTCTCTGCAGAAATTCCTTCAGATATGAAAAAACTCTGTCACTAATGTCAGCTATTTTTATTTTTCAGTTGAGAGAACTGAAGCCCTAGAGAAGCCTGGGAATTGCTTAAGAGCTCAGGGAGAGGGACCAGAACCCAGGCTTCTGATTGCCAGGCTATGCCCTCAGCCAACAGTATTCCCGAGCAGAGCTGCCTTTCACACAGTAAACAGACCATAGCCATTTCCCCACCACAGACACCCGCCAGGTTGACCTGGACAGACAGGTTCATCCAACACATACACACACATACACACACACACACACACATACATACACAAACATACATACATACACACACACACACACACACACACACACACACACTACCACATACATACAGCCACTTGGTGCATTGTATTCTCCTAAGCTTGCTCTTGAAGAGCCTTTCTGGAAGACAGCCTCCTTGACCTTGGGCTAACGTGAAATGGGGACAGGGCACTGGAGGCCAGCCTTATCTCCTGCTTCCAGCCTGGAACCAATAACCAGAAGACTGGGGGAGGGGGGGGAGACGGGCAGAGAGACAGATGCATTGCTTAGTGGCGCTTGAGAACAGGTCATACCATCCCCGAACCTGGCCTCTCTCTAAGGCCCACTTTATGAAGCAGGGAAATGTGATGGAGGGAAGAGAGGAGGCAGTGGACAGCTCTGCCTGGCATCCCATCTGGAGATGAGGGGGAACACAAATAGGTATACGGACTGGCACCGGGTTTGGGGAGAGGCGCTCTGAGGTGTTGAGAATTGTCCCCATTGCTTGGGGCCTTTTCTTCTACAACCCCTTCCCTTCCTTTCCAGGCTGGGGTTGGGAAATTCATGGCTTCGCTGGCATGGGGCCAAACCCCTGGCCTTGTGATCCCTTCACCCGATTGCTTACAGTTGGCCTCCTGGCCTTTAGTGCTGCCCCCGACTGCAGCTCTGGGGAGAGGTGGCAGGGTGCTTGGGTGTGGTCTCTCCCAAGTAACTGAGCAAACAGCGTCCCCCCTCCTCAGCCCCGGGGCTGGAGACAGACCCGGTTTTGGTTTCTCCGGCTCCATGAACACACAGAGTTACACGTCCTACCATAGGAGGAAGCAATGACTGTTACGAGGTTGGCGGCTGTAAGGAGCTCGGGGCTGTAAGGAGGGCCGGTGGGCCAGCTAGGTAGGGGTCGGCCCCTGTCACTTCCCACCTGGCCCTACTCGGCCCCGCCCCGTGCGCCGCGGCGACCCCGCCCGCTACTGAATGTGGCAGGCGGTGGAGGAAGTGGCCTGGCAGCACATGCAGGTGGGGTTCACGGACTTAGGGGGGATGAGATCTAGGTCCTCGTCGTCGGGGATCTCGTCTAACCGGTAGCCATCCTTCAGCAGCTGGATGTTCAAATCTTGGTTGATCTGCTGTAGAAAAGGTTCGAGTCAGTTGGAAGGGCAAAACCCTGGGCTGGGGCCGCCACTGTCACCCCGAGGCCACCGTGACGGCCCCTTTTCAACCTAGATTTATTTCAAACTCCAGCGTGACTTGCGTTTCATTTCCTCCAGGCAAGTCTTCCTAAGGTGCGGGGCTTCAACAGGCAGTCCCCTCCCCCCCCCATTAGTCGAAGGTCAACTTCTCACGTCCACGCTGGCCCTGTTCGGGATTTGCCCGATTTCAGGTCCACTCCTGCAAGTTGTTGCATGCATTTCACACCTGTTCTATTTTACAGCTCCACTTTAATAACCCCGGGCTCACTGCAATTCTGGGTAGTGATTTCTTCCCAAGCTCCCCGAGTCCAGGCCCCGCCTTAAGTGGAGCCCTGTCCCCCACATGGCTCGGCCCCACCTGCGTGCCTTCTGCCCCTAGACAGCCCCAGCCTTGCTGTCTGGCTCCCGTTGTCTGTGGAGGCAAGGGGTGGAGCCTCACCTCCGCAGAGGAGTAGCCAGAAGAAGAGTATCTGGACATGTCGAAGTCATCATCGCTGACCGTGGAGAAAAAAGGAGAGGAAGTGATTCAGGAAAATTAAATAGAAAATTCTCGGTATCTTTGCCATACCCGCCGTCCCCCAACAGTATGATTTAAATAACCCATGCTTATTATGCAAATATATGTTCGCAAAGACAGGTTTCCCAGTATGACCTTTAAATAAAGTGGCTTATTAAATCCTTCAGGATAGAACTGCTCCCAATCTTTCTTTCCTCCTCGTCCTCTGTTTTTGTTTTGTTTTAACTTTTCTCTCCCTAGATTCAAATCATCCTGTTTGGATTTTTCTCAAAGTCTCTGGCTAGCCAGATGCTCCCCTGAAACAGGGTTCTTCTCACTCTAACCTCTCTATGCCCAGTCCAAAAACAAACAAACAAACAAACAAACAAACAAACCTCCAAAACCCCACCCCTTGGGAAATTTCACCCATGGAGAGTTCTGGCAAAATGGCAGGTGTAGCCCGTACAACCCCATCTGTGCTCACATAGGATCATAGGCTTGCCCAGCTGCCCCCAGGCCCCATACACACCTGTCTGTGTCAAGAGCTACCAGTGGCTTCTCATCAGGGCTCTGGTCAAGCGAGGAGTAGCCTTTATTAGGGACGACCAGCCTGGGTAAAGAATTGGGGAGTTGGAGTGCCAGCTGGAGCATACAAACATGGCAGAGGATTTGATGGGGTCCCGTCCTCTCATTTTCCTCCCCCTCCCCTTGGATTCCTGGAGGAGGGGGAGACTGGAGCCCAGGTGCTGGCCGGTAGGGTCTCAGTGGGGCAAGGATGCCTACCTCGTCCGGGCCATCACATTGTTCTTCTTGGGTTGCTGGTTGACAGGGCTGCCCATGCTGCCATTCTTCAGGGAACCCTTCCGGGCCAGCTCCCGCTGCTTCTCTGCAGGAGAATATGGGAAAGAAGCTGTGTCCTGCCCCAGGGCTACCAGGCCTTGCTGCCTGGCCGGTGGCCTGCTCTGGGCCTTTCCTTTCCAGCTGGCAGAGAGCCCGTGGCCCTCCAGGCACCTGATGCTTACGGACATGCACTTGGTCCTGCATAACTTGAGGCTGACAGTGGTGGGTGAAGAGAGGAGCTGAGTCCTGCTCTGGGACCACAGTTCCTGTGTTAGGCAGCCAGCGTGTGCTTGGTGTCAGGAAAGGCTAGAGAGATGTGCACAGACAGCTGGAGCCACCAGGGAGGCCTTTCTGGAGCAAGAAGGAAAGAATGACCCAGGCAGTGATGGCGCATGTCTTTAATCCCAGCACCCAGAGGCAGAGGCAGAGGCAGATGGTTCTCTGGGTTCAAGGCCAGCCTGGTCTAAAGAATGAGCTCCAGGACAGCCAGGGCTACACAGAGAAACCCTGTTTCAAGCCCCCACCCCCCAAAGAAGGAAAGCATGTAGGAAAACAAATCAAGAAGTGAACATAACTGTGGATGGACTAGAGGGAGAGGAGCGAGAGCAGTGAAGTTGGGAAAGTAACCATTTACTCAGGTAATTTTCGTTCAACAAGCACCAGAATCACCAATTATGCACCAAGTACCCTAGCACAGGGACGGAAGGCTTCCGAGGGCTGTGAGCTCAGCCCTCACAGAGACACACCCCCATCGCAGAAAACAAAACAACAAAAAAACCTCAGAGCACACAAGCCTTGACTGTGGG